GTAAGTGTGGCTTGCATGGCACATGAGCTCCCTAAAAAGAGGGCCTTGGTAAATGTGCCCACCTGGAACAGTCATAGTGGTTTGCTGGTTGCTATTGGACCATTTGACCTGTACTCATTTCCAGCGACCAGATCTTACCACTGAAATGGCTCTTGGGCTTGTTGAAAGGTAAAATGAGGTGTATGTGTGTGTGTGTGTAATATTGGAGGTTGAACCAAGGTATGTACACATGCTAGGGTAGTACCTACCACTGAACTATATCTTCAGTCCTTTACTTCTTAGCCTTTTAAACTCCAAAACTGCATCTCCATAAGTTGCTCAGGCAGGCTTTGAACTTGGGATCCTTGTGCCTTGGCCTCCCATCGAGCTGAGATTACAGCTGCACCACCAGGCTCAGCACACATACAACTCTTCTAGCTCAGGCACACAGCAGGTTCTTGGAGAGTGCTAGTCACTGTGGTTGCACTGAAAAATCACTTCCCACACAAGAAATAAAAATGCCCATGAACCTTGCTGCTGAATTACACTTTGATTTTATTCTGGGGGGTTCTGGGAATGAAACCCAGAGGCTCAAGCAGACTAAGCTCATGTCCATTACACTGTGTCTGAAGCCATGGATTACAATGTTTTGACGGTTGGTGCAAAATTAATAAAGGGAAGAGTTCATGAGAATCTGGGTCTTCGTTAGAAAACAAGTAGAGGTCTGTGGAAGCTGTTTCTTAGAATCCTAAAGTAATAAGGCTGAGGAGTAATTGTCTCAAAACATGTTGGGTGGAGTAGTGTGAGAAGGTGCAGCAGAGCTACCCTGCAGAGGCTAGAGTGGAACTCCACAGGAAGCTGCTGGGGTAGAGAAGCAACCTCCAGATTGACAGCTGCTCCAGGCAGGGCTCACATAACACCTGGTGCCATCAAAAACTAGGTACTGGTGACAAGCAGCTCAAGCTGCCCAAGAGGAGGCAACTGAAGATCTCAGCATGTTATCCGGTTGCTGGAGAGAGAGAGCCTGTATCCGGGATGGTGGTTGGGATGGCTGCAGGGTTTCAAAATAGCCTTTCAAGGGACGAGGAAAATGTTTGCAAACTGAGTGTGGTGGGTCATGCCTATAATCCCAGAACTCAGGAGGCTGAGGCAGAAGGATTGCCTTGAGTGAATCTGAGTAAGGACCTGTTTCAAAAAACCAAAAGTTTTGAGGGTTGAATGTGATATGTAACTTGGGGTAAAGTGCCTGCCTACGATACAGGAAGCCCAGGTTCAAGCCTGACCACAATGCACAGCATAAAATGGATGTAATGACATGTGTTTATAATCTCAGCTGTTCAGAAGTTTAAGGTTATCTTAGCTTTCTTTCCCACAAATCTTGTTCCCATATAAAATGCTATTAAACCAGGGGCTCCCTTTGCAGCAGCTGGCATTGTGTGCACATAACGCTGCCCGGAGTATGATAGCAGTATGTTGTCTGAATAGACCACTGCTGGATGTGATTTCACATTGTTTCACAGTGGGGCAACACAGCTGTATTGATTTTACTCTGAACTATGTTTGTTGTTATAATACAAGTTTTTTTCTTAATGGTGTTTAAGAAATAGATTTACGGCCTTGGCACTTACACACTTGATCTCACCAGCTGTGAGAAGATACCCTGATATCTGTCTCCTCTTCAACACAAATTATTCAGCTATCAGAGCAATTCCTTCCCTGGGGCCTGCCGTTACAACAGCCAAGCTCTGAAGCCCTGTGAGAAATGGACTAGACATTCTGTCTTTCTTTATCGTTTTTTTTCATTCTTAATTATATAATACTTTAAATTCTAGAAAGCATTCCTTCATCTCCCAGTACCATTGGGAGATGGTTCCCAGAACACCTCTCAAGTATCAGTGTCCATGGATGCTCAAGTCCTTTGTGCAAAAGGACACTGTATAGACAGGTAGCTCATTCTCACCACCCAAATACTTTAAACCATTTCTATATCTCTAGTAATGTGATACAATGCAAATGCCATGTAAATGGTTCCTGTTCTTCTTGCTCAGGCAACAGTGAGGACATGACCAACTGCATCCGGGCACTTCTTTTCAAACACTTTCCATCTAAGATTGCTTGAATTCACAGATTAGGACCCACAGACACAGAGTGCTACCTGTGCATAAGGCATGCACGCTTACAGAAAATCCAACCTAAGAGATTTTTCTAATCACATTTTCTTTAAAAGCTTGTCATAGATGTAGCTAATACCCCTCCCTCAGTGCATATGGATTCTTCTTATGATTACTGCACATCTATTATTTTATCAGACAGATGTAAGCATGTTGTATTAGACACCTGTTTCTTCCTAATAGCTTTCCCTGAACGTGGCTGCTCTTTACTGTGGTTCCTCCTGAAGTTTCTAAGGTTCAGGCATGGAGACTGGTTGAGCTGACTGGGTCTGGCTCTGAGTCTGATCATCACCTGCAGCCATCCGACGTCTGCAGATGCTGCTTCCAAGTTCACTCCTGTGGTTGTTGGCAAGAGTCCCTGCTCATTGCCATGAGGGCATCACCACAACTTACCTGAGTGTCCTCAGAATAGCACCTGGTCCTCTCTGAATGAGTTGTCCACAAGAGGGTACCACGAAACCCTTAAGACAAAAGCTGAAGACTTTCTATAGCCCAGTTTCAGTGGTAGTGCTACTGTTTATGATGTGTTCTGTTGGTTCTGCAGTGTGGAGGAGGAGACTACATGGGTTAAATATCAGAAAATGGATCTCAAATGGAAAAGCATCTTATCCCGAATTCTGTCTATTGTAGAATTGGTGGTGATTCATTGTCAATTTGACACAACCTACAATCACCAGAGAAGAGAACATATAACAAGAGATTCTCTAGGTCAGGTTGTCCTGTGGGAGATTGTCTTGATTACATTGATTCAGGTGGGAAGGCATTGTGGGTGGTACCATTCCCTTGGTTTCAGTCCTGGACTGTGTAAGTGTAAAAAGGAGGTTACATATGAATAGACATGCATGAATTCATTCTCTTTCTGCTCTTGACTGTGGATATGATATGACCAGGTGCTTCAAGTCTTTGTCTCAACTCCCTAAAATAATGGACTGTGACCCTAAACAGTGGCAGAAGAAACCCTTGCTCCATGAAGTTTTGTCAGGACATTTTTTCACAGCAACAGAAGTAAAACTAAGACAGGTGTGTGGCAAAACATACTTTCCTTAGTTAATTGACTTTATTTTCAATTTATGTTACTGTTATGGAACTAACTGTGTGTGTTCCTTGTCAACTTGATCTCTTTGCTAAATAATGTATGTTCTAAATGTTCTGTGTTAATACTTTCTTTAACTGCTACATCATACCACATTGTCTGAGTATACTATCCAGATTATCTAATAAACCTTTTAGAGACATAGCACAAAATGTAAAAGCAATTACTACTCTATCAGAGGACTGGAGTTTGGTTCCTATACAGGATGACTCACAGTCAACTGTAACTTCAGCTCTGGAGGCTCTGATGCCCTCTTCTGGCTTTTACAGGTATCTGTATACACACACACACACACACACACACACACACACACACACACACACACCAGTGTGTAGTGCTCTTGTGTACCAACACACATATGAACACAAACCCACACACATGCACATACACAAAAAAATTAAAATAGCATATCACTGAACGATTGCATAATTTTATTAAACTGCCATCTTCATCCAATTATACAAACCCAAAAGGGAAGTGAGTGAACAGCTTCTTGCACAGCTGTGTTCTCTTTTCTATAAACAGTTTCCCTGATAAAAGTCTCAAAAGGTGATTATTGTCTAAAATGCTGTGATTCATGTCTCAGTTGTAAGTTTTTTAAACTTTGCCTGTGGTGCATTTTGACATAAAAAATACTTTTTGGGGTTTTTAAGTCTCTCTTGAGTACTCATGAGAACGTCAGGGTCTCTACCCCTGACTGTGGCAATTCAGAGTCCAGCCAGGCTTGGTGAAGGTGGAAATCTGAGGGTTCCGATTCTTTCGGGAGAATCCTTTTGTTCCCAGCCCTTCCTCAGACCAGAGGCATCCAGGCTCCCTTGATGGTCAAGTTTTGGACTCTTCACTGATAAGCCAGTCTTTCATAGGCATTGTGGCTCTAGCACCTACTTCCTTGGTGTTTGAGGTCAAGTTTCTTGCAGTGTGACTTTCCAGAGGAGATGTAAAAATGTCTATGCCAAATAGAGAGGGAATAGACAGACCAAAGACAGCTCCCATCAAGTCCAACATGATACATTAATGAGTTTATTGGTGTCGCTCAGAGAAGCATGGACAACCCATGGGAGCAGCACCATTGACGAGCTAATGTGGATGGGGAAAATCCCACCAGGCCACAGCCCTGGATGAAGAGTTATAGGAGATTACTGGCTGCTGAGAGAGGGAGAATCAGTCTTCTCTAGAGATGAGCCCCCTGATGGGTCATCCACTCCCAGGTGGTCAGCCCTGATACATGTGAACAACACTAAATGAACTCAGCAAGTTGTACTCATATATTTATTCATTTATGTATGCATGCAACTGATAGTTTTTAAAAAGAGGCCATGAATCTGAGAGAAGCAGTATGGGGAGTCCAGCATGGGAGGTATTGAAGGGAAGAAGGGGAGGGGATGATATAAATCAAAAACAGAAAAAGAAAAGCCCCAACCCTAGTTGGTCTTTTACCTTGTATATAATATATACATATTATATTATATTATATTATATTATATTATATTATATTATATTATATTATATTATATTATATTATATTATATTATATTAATCACCTATGGCTGCACAGAATGGAGTAGGGTTTGAAATCTTGGGGAAAGGTTAGGGGTGGGGGTTGGTGAAGGGCTTGTGAGGTCCCGTGGCCTTTCCCCCTCACATGGTAGCAGACTGTGTCCATAGACCTATCTTTCATAGAGGTCTGTTTGCTGCCATGATTGCTGGATGAGGTCTGTCACCATGGCCACCCTGCTCCACAATGGTGGTGGTCACAC